AGACTTTCTCCCTTGTTACTTCTACCATGAAATCTAGGTTGAACTGTAACATCACAACTCCTTAACCCTTTGAATAGATGAAAATGGCCCTATATTGCATGAACAAGGCGCCATTCTTGACATCCTGTGAACCTTCTCCCATCAACTGTCCTTTGGGCCTGCTTCACGAAGCCGTGTGCGTAAGTGGGAGGCCTCGGCTTTGATGCATCTTTGCTTGATTGTGGTTGGATGGTGTTGGGCACTTTCTATTGGAAATGAATTCCCAAACTTATACAAATTCTTGGTGCTTATGCAGGTCTAATAGCTGCAAATATTAGGGTAATATACATGAGCGTTTTAACCCGACTCAGGCCTACCTGTGGGTCTTTGGAAATGTCACCTCAAACATGGACTGCAGTTTGATGCAGTCATATGTGCAACACGTTTGAAGCAGCACTGATGAAGATGTTGCTCAGTTCTGCCACACGTGTTATCTGGTTCTACTTCTTACAATAAGTGCATTCGCACATTTTATGTGACAGTTTTTATTGTGAAGGGAAAGTGGGTTCTGCAATTAACGGATAGAGCAGATTGTGGAGGAAGAACCCGCTTCCCAGCATGTACTGAGTGGGGGCTAAGAACGCAATCCTATTTAAGGTAGAAATTAAAGAAAATCCCAAACTGAAAACACTTATTGTTTTACGTGCTTAAAATAATTTTGCTGAAACGGATCATTTGAATTTTGCTTGGAACCAGATCGCTCAAGAATTGTTCGGTAGCTGATTTATCTCAGTAATTATGGTTGAGAGACATTCAACACTGGAACTCAGTTGAACAGATCGGCAAAAGACGTGATGGAATTTTGTCAAACCTTAGAGCTCTCCCTCAAACAATAATCGCCCTTTGCATGATCTTGCTGTGAAGCGTTGAAGGCCGAATGCCTTTTGGCCCCCACATGATCGACCACGAGAAATGAAAATAAAAGGCGAGAACGGTAGCAGACATGTGTTTTTAAGTAAGTTCGAAGCAGACGGTAGATTCGATATTTGGTATAATCGAGAGTGTTTCCTCAGACAAAGGCCAGATTCAAAAAAAACTATCGAAAAAGTAATTCATCTGGCCTTGTCCAACGAACAGTAACGCTGCTGTAAGTGTAAAGGTTATGTACATCAACCTTTGTTTCAAAGTCCACAGGTCCAACTCCTTCTCCCCCCCCCCCCTTCTTTTACTCTCCCGCCTCATCCGTCCCGTTATGTACTCACACCGAGGTCAAGTTCATTTTTTAGTATGTGTCTCACTCTGGCGACGCGCCATTAACCATGAATGCGTGAATGACTGCATATTCTCTTTGTCTCAGTGACTCCGCATCTGTCCGCAGGCTTAATATGCTTTAAAAGAACGTCACAAATGGCAACCAAAGCGAAAGCGCACGTGAAAACTCTCCAGATTCATTAGATGAGGAGATTCACAGCGATGGAAATGAACATGGCAGTAGGTCCCGCGTGTCTGCACAGGACGCAATCCACCCCATTCCCTAGTCCGGACACCGAGGGGCATGCAGTTTGGCGATTAGCATTGCTGGTGAATAGCTGGAAGAGTGTGAAATTTCGATGACCGATGAGGTAATACCCAGCACTCGTGGAGGGTTCCGCCTCACAGGAGCATCTGGTACACACCCGAGGCGTCTACTTTACCGCAATGGTGGATACAATCTTAATTGGCACACGAATTCTTAACAGGCTGGTCAAGAAGAGCTTCGCTACACCGCCTTCTCATAATTTGGACAAATCATAAGTCTAGGCTGATTTCAGTGTTCTTTGTTATCTTATTTAGTCTTAATGTGGGTTGCATTGCGCTTTATTTGTACATTTCGTGAGAGGATACTTAAAAGCAGGACCCTCTGAGGGCTCACCTCCATCCCCCACACTCCCCCTCTCCATAGCATAGCCAATTTGCGGGTGTTTTTGTCCGCTCCTCTAGCCACATTAAGAAGCATCGTTGAATGCACATAAATCCATACCCTATCTACACATTCCACCAGTGCCACGATCTGACAGAAGTATTAACTGCAAATGCAAAGATTTAAAACCTTATTTCGTGATCTTTCTTTACCGGGAAAACAAGGCAACATCTCAGTTCCCACATGATGATGTGGCAGCAAGACCACATGCCAAACAACTGACGGTTCAGTGATTACGCATAGGTAAGTGTTGGATCCTTCATTATTACTGAGGTGGACAGGGTGATCGTGGGTTTTACCTTTGCAATTGAACCTGTCTACTACGTCTGGTGGGGGTGGAGGCAGACCCTCACTGTGTGTCTGTACTGCCTGTGGACTACGAAAGCTTGGCAGTGGGTGCATGGAAATCACGTCAGTAAGTCGCAACGAGCAAATTGATACGAGTTTACCACTTAAAATTAATGTCCTACCGCAAGGTAAGAGTGGCAAGATATACTACTGAATTTGTGTTTATCAGAGTAGGGTGGGAGAACGCTTCAATTGCCTCCAGACGACTCACCCAATTACATCGACCGAGGGGAGGATGACTAGAGGAAACTACAACGTCCGTAGCCACAACTGCAACTCGGGGGGACCAAAACTTCTGATTCTGAGGGTGGTGGGAGGCACCGGTCATGCCTAAGTTAGCCGCACACATAACAACAATGCCAGCTGCCACATCATTCCTCACCATGATGAGCAGCGCCAAGGAGGCTTCCACAATTAGCTATCAGCAGCATGCTACCAGCTGTTTTGTTGACCTCCTTCCAAGCGCATAGCCAACAGCCACCAAAAGCATGGCAGTTGCCAAAGCGCCATGTAGGAGGTGATCGAAAAACTGGATTACCTCAACGTCGATGAGGCCGTTGTAACAGTTACCTTGACAGCCTTCTAAACTCATTTTACTTGTTTGTTTTTCCATGCGTGGCGGAAGAAACACCAGTTTAAGCTACTGCCTGCTGCTGGATTGCCTGATTTCCTCGCGGTGAGCTAACACATTCACAAACAAGAAGCGCAAGATTTTTTGCTTTATGGATCAGAAGAACCACTAATTTCATCTTGTTTCAAGAGACACCTAGCCTAACTTTAGACAACAGATGGCAATAGCAGTGGTTGGCATTCCCAAGAGTCCTGTAGAATTACCTGACTAATGTGCAATAACCTGTTGTGGTGGGTGTAGTGGTGTGACAAACCACCACATCAGGGTTGCACACCACGAGTTGCAGCGAGGTGAATAAGTGATTGATGGGTGTAAGGGGAGGTTGCTTAATCAATCAGTAGAAGGGTAAACGTGGAAATGCAGGGCGAACACACTTCTCATTCTCCTGTGCGTGCCGTGATGTACCGAAATGGGGAGGCGTAAGTCGAGACGGTGATCCTTGAGGTCCTCCGCCAGTTGCACGAGTCAACTATAGCTTGGAATTCGTTCCCGTCCTGCCAGTTGGCACATGATGAGTCCTTCCGAATTATTTAGTTAATAACTTCCGAAGGAGCAAATTTCTTTTCCCGTTCTCCTCAACTGAAATAATGCCTAGTCAAGGAGCGTGACATAATTTATCGTTGATATGGATAAGATGCGGTAGCAACTCCTAGAGAGGAAGGTTTCTAGATTCCTTCAGCCCGTGTCAGGCAGTCAGTGATAATCGGCGTGGATGACCAGACTCCTACTCACAAATTCGGTACGAATCCGACACTCATCAACACTTGGCTTCAGATTTCTGGGTGATAGAGATTAAGTAATATTATATCGAAAGCGAAGTGGCAATTTCACAGGTAGCAGGTGAGAAATAATGGCAGAGAAGCATCTTGACGGGGCAGGAGTGGAGAGGTTATGACGACTTGTCAGTGGTTACTGTCTTTTCTCCCGCTCCTGGCGAGTCGTCCAATGCCTCCTTCGATGTCCGTGCCAGTCGTTCTAACTCCGACTGCATCTCCCTGGCTGACATTGAGGAGGTATCGCCGAAACCTGAACAAGACAATTCGATGAGACTGTGCATTAGACAAACCGGAAATTACTTAACGACCAAAAATATGACAAATATTATGTATCGATGATATCTCCTGGAGTATTGTTCTACTTTTCATCCCATCTTCATGACCGCCGTTGAAGCGGAAGCGATGGGAACGACGCTAAAAATGCCAATCTTTTTGCTCTATTCACACTCTACCAGGAATTTAAAGCTACTAAAATGAAATTAGCAACGATTTGAATGTCTAGGTTAAAATAGAAACAACGAGAGCGGGCAATTAAGGCACAGAGTGATTAAGGGGGAGCCAAATTAAAAGCAACCAACTAACCACTCGTCTCAGCAGGCGCTGGAGCAAACGATGAGGCGGGAGGACCGTTTGGAGTTTGACGAGATGACGGACTCTTGCTGAGCAGATTGTTGAAAAAGGTCGCTAGCACCCTTTCGGATGAGCTGCCCGACAAGCCACCACCGACACCGGCGCCCGAAGACTACGAAAAAATAGATTTTTGAATTAATAATTGGTTTCAAAGCTGATCTTTGTCTGGGAGACTCCTATTTTCTGTGGCAGCATCTATTTGAGCTGCAACCTGGTTATAACAGAAGTCGATTTCAACATTTCAACATTCAACACAATGAACACCTACTCTATTGCATAGGACCATCTTAAACATCAACCACCAATCTTTTATTCTATCCTAATTTCGTAAGAACAGCTAGACAATCGTAAAAAGCACTCTGCCTTAAACGCGTCAACGCAAGAATATTCAAACGGCTAGTATTGCTTATGGTAGAGCCCTGAAATTTCACAAAATCCCACCACTTCTTATTCTCCTTTTGCTGACCTACTCAACTGAATACCAGCATCAAAAAAGCACTAATATAATTACCGAAATAGGAGAAGTACAGAATGGTTCCTTGGTGTTCTCGTTTCAAACAAGAATCAAATGAACTCTTTCAACGAAACAATTTTAGCACGTAAAACAGCAAGTACGTCATGTACTCGATTTTTTTTTGATTTATACGTGTACTTAATCAGCAAGATCAGATAAATTTGTGCTCCTAGCACACATTCTGTGCATGCTGGAAAGCAGCTTGTTTCTCAACAATCCGCACCCACCATCACTTCAATGCGACAAATGTTAGCCTATCATGCAAGAACCTACTTATCTCAAAAAATAGGACAAGATCAAAAGTTTAATCAATTCAGTGGTAGGACTTAACAACCGTCATCGGTGCCAGTTCAAACGTGCTACACATTTGATTGCATCAGGCCGCAGTTTATGTTTGAGGTAACTAACACGGTAGGTTAGTCAACATCCGGCCCTTCATACCTAACCACCTTTAGGCAGGTCTGAGTCAGGTTGAAAAATTCGTACGCATTACTGAAAAAACCTGCAGCAATTTGACTTGTGCTAGCACCAATTACATAACGACCTTTAGAAAAGCCAATCAGAATAGAGGTAATGGCATAAATTTACGTCCAATAGAAAATGCGCATCACCATCCAATTACAATCAAGTAAAGATGCATCAAAGTCTACGCAACCAATGACGTACACGACTTCGTGAAGCAGATCCCGAGGATGGCCGACTAGGAGGCGTTCCAGCGACGTCGAGAACAGAGGCTTGTTCATGCGATTCAGTGCCATTTTCACCTGCTCCACCGGTTGCGGCGTTGTGCCGTTGTAGGTCAGTGAAGATTTCACTCAGGAAGTACTTACGAAAGAGAAAAGCCAAAGACATCAAAATGCAATTCTAGTTGAACTGAGATTTTGACAGCTTATAGCTAGCCTAGGCGGATGTTCAATGCAATGAAAAAGAAGGGCACTACACAGGTCTCTCTCTCATATCAACTGTGCATTGATAAGAAAGCCACCTGCCAAACTGCACCGTGCTTACAGCGCCGTGAAAACATCCACATCACAACAATCAACGCACCTGATCATCCAGAGCGGTCTCTGCTGGCTCCTTGTTTGTGGTTTTGGTTTCCTCTTGCGGCTTGGGAACTACTTTTTCAAAGTCATCACCGGGACGATATTTAGTCAGATTCTGTTCCAACAGACTAATCTTGTTCAGGCTATCCCAACCAGCAGGGCTAGAAGACACAAAAATTAGATGCCCTTAATCGTCCTGCATTTGGGAAGTGCAAGAGTCATTCAAACCAAACCTAGACTTCCGGCATCACACAATCCTACCGTAGAAGGTTACCCATCACCGTTACAAGTCTTGTGTCTCCTTCAAACACTGCTAATGACAACTCTGCCTGTGACACCAGCGATGGCAAGTGTTTATCGTCTACGAGAGCGTAAAACCCGAGCTTACAGACTGCTTCAAGTACGGTATGATACGGTAAATTTAGAATGTCCCACCGATGCATAAGAGGTGAATTTTTCTACAGAGACAGTGAACACAATCACTAAAGAAGTTGGCGCATAGTGAGCATCAAGGCAGCCCTAGAACGATTCAGCTGCATCGACACATCCCTCCAATGAAGGGGGACTGCTTCCAGTGAATCAGTTAAACACTGTAACCAGTGTAGGAATGCAGCATGTGAGGATCACAGTGGAGAGATAACTGGTTCAGAGGAATGAAAAGTAGGAGAGGAGCTAGTTAGCTGAGTCTCCCCTGGTAAAGCCACCTGCAAGCTTTCTCTCTCTTCTCTCAATGCAGTTGGCTTACATGAACACGCTGTCCTTGTCAATAACGTAGGCATTCTGTGTGAATGGAAAGCCGTAAATACGGTGTTGCAGGTAGTTCTTCAACAGACCGCAATTCTTGCCGTTCTTGGCCGACACGTAGACAAGGGCGGCACCGTCTAGGAGGAACCGACAAATTGAAATCGGCCTTTTAAAGCACTACTGCCCATTTGCGAGGAGGGGGAAACGAAAAATAGGGTACACTTACAGGAGAGGCAGAACCGACGAATGTGCATTTGAATGATATCGAACTGCTCTTCAGTCACGCCTTGCTCCCGCTCCAACTCATTCATCACGTCAGTCTATGGGGACAATGAATAAATTGAAAAGAGCATTTTCTTATAATAGGTTTGACATCCTATCGGGAGGTCGGGGAACTTAGTCACCCAACCTGTGGCTCATAAATTCTACCAGTTTGTGAAATTTAAGAACCGTGTCATTCCTGCGAAAGTAAAAAGCTAACATGCGGGCGCAGCAAACATCATAAACGTTTTCCACCCCACTTACTTTCTCATGGCATCATGTGATTTCCTGGTTCGACCATCATCACCTGGAGAATGAGACATTACATTCCCCGTATTCAAAAGTTTAATAATGGAGTCATTTCAGGAGTGAAACGAATTGTAAGGTCTACCGTTGCTTTAAGGGATGGAACTTATTTCCCAACTGCTTCTCGAGAAGAGGTTTCTCTTGCACACCATGTAGATGATGTCATTTTTAATCGCTTAGTCTTCAGCAGGCGAACAACTTCATCCACGGTTCCCCACGCATTCATGCATAGTTCAAACAGGGCTCCCTGGATATGAAGCAGTGCATGAGCAGCAAGGAATGATTAGTGGGTGAACTTAGGGATGACCTATGACATGTTTGCCTGCTCAACGAACATCAAAATATAAAAGCCGCTGTGGATACTTGTGGACCCAAAAAGCTTCTTTTTATTTCCTTAGAATATTCCACACTTCGGAAAAAGCCTCTCACTCGCTCCCTTCCGACTGATTGAGACCGCGATGGATGCACTTGAAGTGGCACTCTAGGACCAAGGTCAACCAGTTACCACAAGCCTGCGTAACAGAGCTGGCCGAGTGACTTAACCCAGACTCAGGCTCAGACAGTCTCCACTATCCAGCTGGCGGTCTAGCCACATCTCCATGTTGACCCATGCACACGTTAACCGATAAAGACGTCTGTCCTAATCCCTAGATCTAATTATTGCCTGATTGGTAACCTCAAGAGGATTCAGGCAACCTACTGCCATGGGAACTCCAGACTTTAAAAATCAGCGACTCAGGTTATGAAGGAGTCAACTTTATGAGTTGGGACCTATCTTTAATCTGATTTAATTTTACACCTTTTGGTTGTTAAACTTTCATTATCAACACCCGGGGCTCCATACCATGAAGACAAAATGAGCCGAAAATTCGCAACTTTTCTGCATAAACTGATTTAAAGTCTAATAGAGACAAAAGGCAATGGATAGTCTTATCGCCAAATACCTTAAAAAGTGAATACTCCATCTTCAATTTGGTGGGCACAACAAGCTCGTACGATACCATGTCACCATAAAACATGAATGTGCGAATTCGCTTGTGTGTGTGAAAAAAAGGATTAAAAAAGCGTTTGCGTTTACTCGCTTACTGACTTCCGAACTTGTTTTCTCACAGCAAGTTTTGAGATAAAGATGGGTAGAGTCTTGAGCTATTCTTATGCATCGAACGCAACATTGCATAGAACACGCCTCTTCTGGCAAGCATTTTAAGTCACCTGAATTGACAATGACTGTGTGTCATTTAACCCATAATATAAAGGTAATGACCGATCTGGCAATACAATAAACTCTCCGACGGATTATGACCATGAATTCCACCTAAAACTAGAAACCAATTAGGCAACTGAAGAGATCAAACAGCTAGATGAGATCTACAGCCTGATAAAAAAGTCTCCTCCGAGCATGGTGAAGACAGACCCAACTGATACACTACCGCATTTTTTCGTGTGCTCGGCTAAGATACATTTACCTCGACAAGATTTAGGCACTTAACCCAAGAGAAAACTGCACTCGCACAGCACTACTCAATAAAGATTCAATCTTACAACACTCACCTTGGTGACCACAACCACCAGGGGAATACCGAGATTATTAATTAAAGCACCGGGAGTGATGGGTAACTCCTTAAGCACATCAGAAACCGTCTTCTTGCTCCTCTTCATCTTTGACTTCTCGCCCTCCTCGCCCTCTAGTTCGTCGACATTATCCTCATCACCTTCTTCGACCTCGTCCTGGAGAACAGATTGGTTTTGTTGCTGTTGGCTTAAGCCACTCAATTTAAGAAGGGCTGCAGTAGCCGGATGGAGGGGATTCCCACCGGTTGCGGCGACAGCAGCTGGCCGAGAGACCGGGACCACCGGTGAAGGGGCGTCACCAGCACCAGTGACTACACCAGTGCCACCACTGCTACTACTCATAGTGTGCAAAAGTATACTGTCCGGTTCAATGTATTCACGAAAATGGCGAACGACTGAAAGATGAAAGTACATATGCAATGGAAGGGGTAATGGGTCTTAACTAGAGCGCAATTTGCCGTGATCCTAAACTCGAGTTCGAAGAGAAATTATTCACATGCCTTGAAATAAAGGCAATGATTCCAAACATTAATAAATGAATTTGTCTAAGCTGTTCAGCCCGATGGAATCAAGAAGTCGGAAAACAGTTTGTTTCTGCTGGATCTATAAATAGTGAATAGAAAAGTTACTGATGACAGCCAACAGTAAACGGAGGAGGATTAGTAGATGCCCTTCTTGACTGGCGTCTTACGCGACAACTTCAAACAACTGATAAAAGTAGCGGACAAAAGCTACACATAGATATCAGTTCTGGACTAAAAGTACAGTAAAGATAAGCCTAAATGTCTGTTTCTGAGTAATTCCCCGCCTAAAATGTGCATAACCACAGAGATAAACGAAAACTAGGCATCTAAGGACTGTAGAAAGATTAGTAGAAACATCATTGGCTATATTTATAAACACTTGAGTAAAACATGAAGAAGAATTCTCATTGCTCTTATTGGAAACATCGAGCTTCAAATAATAGAAAAAAGGCAAACAAATGAAACAGATGGAATTCATCAACTCATAATAAAGGCTGTCGATAAAGCTGAATGCATGATCTCAAGCCAAATACAACAAAAAAAACTGTGAATTTAAAATGAACCACTACTCCAAACTCAAAACATCTCATTTTGGTGTGACCTATCAATAAGACCTCAAATAGTTTTACCCTGAAAACATGGAGAGGGAGGGGATACGGCTCTAGACATAGGCAGACATGAAGTTCTAGGAAGAAATTGAATTAAAAGAACAGTGAAAATAAGCGAGTAAGGACAAAAATTTTCAAAAGGATATACAAATTCTCCTATTTGTAAATAGGGGAAGATCCTTAAGTTTCTAATTTGACCTCGTGGTAATAAATTAAGAATCATGAACGGATAATAGATGGGCTTACGGCTATCCTTGTATTCCTGCATCTCCTCAACTTCAATACCCATGCTCTTTATGTAGTTCTCCAAAGCAATGGCCCACTTCTCTAACTCCTCCATAATTTTCCAAGGCCTCCCCATATCCACTACAATCATGACCATACGGTTAGCAAAGTTTTTCTTATCAAGAGGGAATTTGAGATACGGTATGAACTCCAGATCTCCATCCAATATCCAAACACCCAATTTCGTTTGATCTAAAACTTGTGCGAAATGACACAGTAAATACCATCTGTAGCTTCATCTCGAATGTCGACAAAGTGGTACTCAAGAGCTGGACTTCTGGGCGGAAGGTTCTTATGGCTCAAACGGCAGGCGAGTGTACTTTTACCGGTTCTACAGTCGCCCAACACGACTATGCCCTTATTGTGGGGGAGTTTTCCTATTCTAGCACTAGCGACCTCTTTTAAAATAGATGACCTAAAGTGTCAGAGAAAAAATAAACCATAAATACCATAGATGAGCGTAATCCTCGCTCTTCTCCGGCTCATTTACCTCTACTTCGATGCCCATATCTGACAAACTCAACGAGCCGGTACTACAAGTAGACGAGTCAAACAAGCATGTCATTCTTCTCTTACTTTATAACAAATGCAAATCTTAAAAATTTTGTTTTTTTGGGCTACACGTTTAATTTGCTTTAATATACACCGATAGGAAAACTCCTCTCTCTAATAAACTCACTGATGAAAGAGTATGAAATCTTTATTTATTGTTGATGCAATTGGGCTTTTTTTGTTAGTTCGATTTAGTAAGTGCTCCTCTGGCAGTTTAATTTTTGCTAAAGTTTGTTTTTTTTTGCTATTTAGTCTTGTGATTTGTTTTGATTTAATATATTACCTTCACCAAAATCATAACCCTCAATCAACTAAAATCGTAAGTCTGCTTACACGCTTTCTTCCGAATGGGTAAAATAAGGTAGCTAGCATCTCCCTCTAATCGTAAGACGCAGCTTCTGGTAGTCTAATAAAAGGCACAGGCATTGTTCTCGTTTCTCCGGCTTTTTAGCCGAAGGTGTGACCATGTGAATAACTTCTGCATATGTTTAAGCAAGTATTCATTTGAGCGTGTTGAAAATCACTCATTTGAGTGACTCGCCATATTCTAATCGGGATAGAGCTAGTCCAACTAAAACAATTTCCGCATAAGAAGGGGATTTAAAAATTAATTAGTAATATGCTCACGTGCAAAAACGCAAGTATTTGACAGATAGAACAGATCCAGTAAAAATTCTTTAAGTATTTCCACTAATTCTACTCGACACTGGCTGTCAATCCAAGCGTAAGTCAAGACGCCACAAGTTAGGCAATTATTTATTACTTACCTATCGAGGTAAAGGTCACATGTCTGCATAGAATTACAAAGTTCCAAAACCTCCCACCAAAAATATTTACCCAATTTCACAGGTAATGATGATGAAGACATTTGCTAGGCACAAAAAAGGCCGTTGAGGCTCTCACAATGCCAAAAAATCTACGCGCAACTCGCACATAATTTACCTCTAGAATGGCGGTGCAAACGGTCAAATAGTGTCTCATCGAATCTACTCAAACACGCAAACCTTTCCTACTGATGAGTCAAAGTGTGTGAAGAATATTATCCACAGGCTGATGGATGACTCTAGACGAAGCAGTTTATATGGGGAGGAAAAACTCGCGGTGATTACAAGCCTCGAGCAGATTGATTTATGTTGCTATCAGAGAGAGTGAATGCGTGGAGGACTTTTATTTCAAGCAAATGGAATGTGCCTCATCACTCAAGAGAGCACACCGAGACAATATTGCTAAAGTCGTAACGAAACCAAAATTATCTTCAAAGACTTCTTGCCATTAATGGTGCTCGTGTGCTCAACTCGCCTATGTAGAACACAAAATGGAGTCATCCTGAGGTAGTTTTCTGGTCTCAAGTTATTAGCTAGCTCTTTAGAAACATTTTAACTCTTTAAAGTAACTTGAAACCGTTAATGGCTGCAGTGCCAAATCCATCTGTTGTCATTCGTTCACTTCCCTTTAAGACACAAGAATTATCCTCATCCTCAGAATTTATTAATTTATATCCATTCTGCATCGCTCTATCCACCCATTCATTTAATCATTCCGAATCCGTCCATGCATCCCATATACATCCATCCATGTGCCAGAGTATGCTTCCTCCAAACATTCATCAGCTCTCTCTCTGTGATTTATCCCTCACTGTTTTCACACTTGCCCCTTTCATTTGCTCATTTGAAAAGCTCCCAATCACCCAACCACTGCGTCCAAAGCCATTTTATTCAAGCACCCATTTTACAATTCACTGGTCTTTAGCTAATTTATCCATTCATTCTTCATCCTAGCCAGGTTACACCCGCGCAACCACCTATTTTTCCATTTCATCTTCCAGTGATTACGACTTGGATCTCCTCCATCCCTCCCTCCTGAAAAATGTAGAGACCTATTCATCCAGGGTAATAGTTAATTTTGCCTCACTAAATATAATGATATGAAAGAGTTTTTTCGGTCCTCACATTACGGCTGCCTCCGGCTCCGCGTCATCACTTTCTCACTAGCTAGTGGTGCATTAAAACAATGGGATATGATTGGACGAAGGTAAAATTATCACAGTGGTGTTGATGAAAGAGACGCAGCAGAGCAAGAGGTCGTGGGCCTTCGGTCAGCTTGGGTTGACAAGTAGATGGTGGGAAATTTCATGGCCGTTGAGCCATTCGGCGTTATCAAATACTTACTCAGGGCAAAATTCATAAGGAGTCTTCAAGGATTAAAGCGTTGAACCCTAGTAGTCCAATTACTAACCCTTAGAATTGCCTTTTTATGGACAGGTTTTTGAGTACAATTGTCAAAGATCAAGGTTATCTCTTCTTTCAAAGATCCTGCTTCTTCAAAGAAGTGGGACTTGGAAAAAATTGGAAAATCGGGTGGCATCAGGCAACAAATCTCGCCTCTTTACCTAATGACATCCAAATGAGAGTACGCATGAACGAATCCACGGAAAGTCGTCAAACTCAAGAGCATCCCTAATCACAGAAATCTTGTATGGAACAAGTTAAAATATTTTTTTTCCGAAACGATTTAACCGATGTCAGGCAGTGACAGACATAGGTAAGTGGAACTCAAGTAAAACAGTCAAATGACCTCAATTCTCTGCATTGCCTCATTTTTCTGCTCCTTTCCCCGCACTCGTTTCCCGCGATTTCCTTTATCCCTACTAACCAACCCACCTACCTGCTTTCATCCCTTATTGACATCTCTGAGGATACGCATTCTTGCGTGCGTGTCAGCAATTGTGCGTGCGTTCATCTGTATGTGTCTCTTAAAAACGGCGATTAACGCATCAGAATCAACCGCCTAAAAGACGAGACACCAAGCGAGCGAGTCAGAGAGAGGTGGATAAACAGATAGATAGAGAAATCAGGTGCTAAAGCATAGCACTCAAAACCACTCTCACACATACAAAGGCAGACAATAGTAGGCAAAGAGAGATTCATGGAAAGCCGAAGTCGACGACGCAGCAGGAGCAGAAATAGAGAGAGGCCATACGAGATAACCATCTCAACGGCGGATATGTCCTCAAAGATGCAGACTTTCATTATGGAACAGGTGATAGAGTGTCTCAACAACCGGTCGCATCCGAAGAAGATGTGTCGATACATCCGGGAGAGGTGCAATGCGAGATATGGACCCTCTTGGGATTGTTTTGTGGCTAGGGAATACTATGGGTGAGTTAATACCATAGTTTACCTCGTGTTGATGTCACTTTAATTAAATTAATGGAGAGAGATACCCAGGATGTCAATTAACCTCCACTTTGTGTTTGCTGATTACCTTCTAGAATGCCACCTTGCGAAATGAGACACAGATAAGTTGGGAGAACCTGACTCACACCCCGCGAAAACATCCTATTTTTAATTAATTCTTAATCACAATGTGCAAGCTTAGAAGATTAGTTCTTAGCACCAAATACCTAGTTTAAGTAAGTTAAGCAACTATTTGTGCATTTATTCGAGCAAATACATAATAGTAGAAAGGAATGTTTGTTTTGGCGCCAACCATTCTGGTGATATTAGTTAAGTAAAGAAACTCAAACGTCAATTTGAACAATATTTACTGCGGTTATATATTTATTCATGAGTTCCACCAATTAACAGTTCAATACGCATGACTTAAGCGCTTGCTTTTTAAATAATGTGACTGGTATTTAACTAACAAAGAAGTTGCAGTAGTGATCCATTGAAACACCTCAATGTCATAGTCTGTACATAAAACTCAGTTCTAGAATCAACTGAAAGACCTTCCATATAACAGTACTGATTTTCCAAACCTTAAAAGAGAAAAGATGTTTTTCATTCCCATATATACACTTCCTCCTGATTATGACAAAGCTCCCAATTACGACGTCTCATTTTTTAAATTCTCCTCTTCTAAGTAATCTAAGAATCATTTTAAATAACTAATTTGCCTAAAGGTTATTTTTATATTTGTCCCGGGATCATATTTATTTGCCTTGAAGAATTATTTCGTAATTGGATTCCACGTGCTGCCATAATTAGGCTGCTGAAACTTGTGGTCAATTTTATCAAATTGAATAATTCAAATAGGCTTCTTTTGAATGCCATGCTTTGAAAAAAGTTCATTTAAAAAGGCTTATGCCAATAACTAGTTGAAATCGATGCCTCTCACCACCAGTAAAGCGGAATTATTTTGTGGCGCGATAATAACGTTGCGGCATGTGGTATTTACACAGTAAGAACAACGGTAGTCTATCACAAATAATCTAGCCACATCACTTACAAATTGTAAATGAATGAGTACAAAAGCTTCACTTTCTGTTGATGTGAAAAGTTATGAAAAGATGGTAGTCCCCGCCTTTCTTATAATTTAGTTACAAATATTTAGTGCAGATTTATCCTTAAATCCTGTTTACTTAAGATCGCCTCAATTAGTAAAACGCCACAAAACTTGTGCCCTAAAATACTTAGTTCTAAATTTTTAAGAATTGGCACACTTCAAGTGCTCACATCGCTACTTTAATTAACCGGTTAATGGAGAAATGAATCGTAGCCCTAATTACTCATTTCAGCCTTCTCCTCAGCCCTCCAATTCCACTTTAAAATTCCCAACAAAGTTGTCTTACTAATTTTGCTTTTATTCAGATCCTTCGCTTACGTCCCACGCCACCTCTTGGGGTTTGAGCTGAATGGACTCAACTTTCTGATTTTCAAGGGAGCATAAACTCCTGTTTACTATTGTAGGAATTATCAATTTCTTTGTTTTTTTTTGTACTTTTTAAGAAGATAATATGCCCGCAAATTGACAAACTGGTGCCACCTAGCCTTTTGTGTAAATACTATCTTGTAATTCTCCACCTGCCCCCCTCTCTCTGCCGTCTTGACCTCAAAGAGGTTATTACAGTCACGTCCATGCACATTCCGTTGGCATTTCTGCCGAGTCACAGGCAGAGAGTAATGGCAACGAATGCACAGGAGGTAATATGACAGGCGCTCTGGTAAACTCTTGTCTCGAATAAGAGAGAGGTATTTTGATTCCGAAGAAAGCACCACTCGTAAGACATTGTGTTGACGAAGGCATCTTTGTTTTTCTTGTTGTTGTTGCTGTTGGACTGTCATCTCTCCAACTCATCATCAATAAAATGGATAGATTTTCAGCATCTAGTCCCTGTTGGAAGGCTTCCAACGAAGTCAATTAATTTGAATACAGTAAAGTGGATGTTTTAATCGTGAGAAAGGCATAAGCGTGATGCATTTAAGGAACGGGGTGTGTGTGTGTGGACCGATGATTACATCGAGTGACAAAAACAAGCAGTTAGCATAAACCTCCTACTTGTGCCTACTCATACCAGTCTTACAGCTATGTTATAAAGGTGTTTTTACTTAGCTATTAGGGTTCAAAAGAAAAAGTGTGGCAAGTAAAACTCTATACTACTAGAATAGTAACTGAAAAGACAGAAGGTGATGCGAATTAGCCTTATTGCATTGGCGGGGATGAATGCCTCAGACTTAGATGTACGGAAGCCCTAATCATCGCGTCCTTTGTTAAGTGAACTGTGTTGTTGTCAACCGCTGTTCGTAGTGTTTGTTGTCTAAAATCAGTTTAGAGGTACGCAGAGCCCTGTGAAAGGAATTTTCCAAGGTCAACCCTGTACCACGTGTGCATGCATATTGAATCAGAGGCTACCTTCCAAATCCTCCGTGACCGATGATGAAGCAATTGAACCAGTAGAAACGTCAAGAAGGATCTTAAAAACTCGCGTACGTTTCTATCAGTCTAGGAGTATTAGGAGTGGGGGGTCATGGGGTGGTGTCTCGCCTACCAGCCCTATTCAGCAAAACGGCAAGAGGAGGGGTTGGGAGAAGGAAATCTGCACGGAACTAATAGGTTATTAAGCGACATCCCACAGCAATAAAAAATTCCGAAAAAAAGTGATTAACTATCCTATTGTTTAGCGAGGAGTAAAGTAACTACCTCCCCCAAAAGTAAGCTGATGGCTGTACTGCCTACAACCGCTGTGAGACATAGAGTTTTTTCCCTTAAACACAAATTGTCAAATGCTCCTTTTTGCCCTCTATTTCTTTTCAAAAATTTGATGGCGAATTCGGGTTCACATGGTGTGCAATATCTCTTTAGGCTTGAACTTGCGCGTCAAGCTACTCACAACAGTATAAGTAGTGCTGTACTTCTGCAATCAAATAGAATTTTATTTAGAGGCACTTTTAGGCTTCATTCCTAGATTCTTCTAAAAGAGCAAACTTCAGCCTTTTTCTCGCATGCTTTACCAGTTTGCTTCTTTTGTTTATCTAAAAAATGTGTCGCATTTACATACTACTTTATAAGAATTACAGTAGACTAAAAGAGGGAAATGGTTATAAGTATAGTTGGAATGGCAAGCATTGTTAAGCTTGTACTTAGACACACTGATTTACTCCTTGTGTTCCAAATAATGTAAAATATGTTGTGACCCAACCACATGGTGGTAGAAAAGAGCCTCCTTTTCGGAACTCTTTCTTAAAGTTAAACCGTTTTTCATCTTCCCTTGAAAAGCACTCGTTTTATGACTCACTGGTAGCAAAGTTAGTATCAAATTTCCTGAAATTTGCCCAGATCCATTAGATGTATACGTTGAAATTTCTCTGGACCCATTTTGAGGAACATGCTAGGTAACCCAAGCTAAGTGTTAAATTTACCCTGAGAATTTAAACAATGTTTTTGCAAATAAATTATTCGGAATTTTGAAGGAAAAAATGCGTTCACGCCAACTAAATCAAAGCACATTTGGGCACTAATTATTGAGGAGGCCTGCTTGACTCCCGACCATCTGTTGATCTCTCCCTTAAAAATAAAAAGTCATTTCTTTTCCTTTTACGATGAGAAAAACAATAATTATGATGAGGAAAACAAAAATTGTTGATAGCATTCCCTTCTTCTCCTCCTTTTTCTTCGCAATTGGTAGCCTCACTACAATTCAAATCATCCACCTGTAATTACCATCGTTATGACAGCCCCGGGATCTGAAGTATCGACAGGGAGGCAACTTTGAAACAACAGCAGGACACTAAAGTTATAAAACTACTTTTTAAAAGAAAATGGACCACATTTAGTGTTTGATGAAGAAATTTATCTCCGTCCGACCCCCCATTGCGGTCCAAGATTGGCGTGACACCGAGAGGGTGGATGTGGGACCCGTATCCCTCCGACGCGACCCTTTGTGATGGGTGGATCAACTGGGGATAGGAGATAACCTAAAGCAATATAAACACACCTAACAGCAAGTGAGTAGGCAGTAAGATGCACACTGAGAGATCAAAGCTCTCAACTCAGGAGGTAGGTTTTATTTGGAGGGGATGAGGTGGCGGGTGGGGCACCCTATTGATTCCAGGAGCACCGAAACCTACCTCAATCCAATTACATGTGATTAAGGAGAAAAGGTAATTCAATTAGCCCTCGCTATGTGTGTGCGAGTGTGTGTATCATAATTACGTGTCGCAATCGTTGCCTAGGTGGATTGCTAGCTCATTCTCCAGCCCCGTCTCACACGCATATACCCACTCACACACACACACACGGCGAGAGAGAGAGAGAGCACCCAACTCAGACAGGAGAGGTTTAGTTTAAAATAACTGGATAATCAGGTATTATAAAATGTGATTACTTAGTGCACTGCACAGCACTGTCACAGATTGCCACAAATATGCCGCACGCGAAAGCCTACGTGAAACAGGCTGACATGTTGGATCAGATGCAACAGGAGGCGGTGAATCACGCCTACGAGGCGTTGCACTGCAACACACAGTACATGGACATTGCTAAACACTTGAGGACCCACTTCGATCACTGCTACGGACCCTCGTGGAGTTGTGTTGTTGGCAAAGATTTCGGCACGTGAGTGGCATTCCAACTTTCCAATTTAACCTGCTATAGTCTAAAGAAGTTGAAGCAAAAGTTGGATAATTTTATTATCTACTTTCTCGTGACGAATCTTTTTTGTGTTTTATAACTGCATCTACAAGAAAAAAGCTTGTTTTCCCATTCTTCTCCATGCCATGATTTTTTGCAGATCATTCGCATATGAGAAGAAACATCTAATTTCCTTCGAACTGAAAGGTTACACATTCCTCCTGTTCCGTGGGGCGTGAGAAAAAAAGAAAAATCTTTTTTATACTTGTTACTATCTCTGGATGTCGTCATATGATATTTCAATGCCTCTAACAAAACCCTCTTTATCCGGTCATGTGATTCTCATGGAGAGAAAATGCTGTGTATTACTCCTTACTATTGTTAAAACTCTATAATATTAGTTATTTTGATACTGATAAAACCAGCTTTGATTCCTAATCGTTTTTTTCATAGGACATATCCTAGTAGTAATTAAATGAGCACTTTGTTTACTCAAAATAATTATTTCTTGGAGGAGCTCATGATGGTTCCGTAGACTTAGGTTTGTTTAGACAAAAAATTCATCTTGATCTCGGGAGTGGCCCGTTTTGGTAAAAAAAGGACGGACTACGCATTAAATTTTTCTAGTTGGTCTACTTCAAAATGAATGCAAGAACAGAGTTAGGTGACACAGTTTTAAACTTTTGATATACTAAAAAGTAAGCGATAGATTTTAAACGGACCTTGAGATAGATCCATAATTTAAAAACAAAACTTAGGATATATATTGACAACCGAAATTTAGTTTAGGACCAAAACGTACTTTTACAATTGCGCAAAATCCAATTAAGCCAAGAAAACCTGGTATTGATGAAGTTAAACAAGTTAAATGACAATTTGTTGAGAAATAGAGACTAAAATATTCTAATTTGCTCTTTTTGTGAATACAGAACGTATATTGAGGCCTCTGATCCCATTAATATGGTAATTTTATGGTATGGGTTCACCAACCTAGAAACATGCGCAAAAGCAAATGAAAAGGGACACTTTAAGTGCCAAATTTTAAAAAAGTCACGTTTAGTTTTCTTGCAACTGGAATTTTTTTAGCGCAAGCATTCTAAATTTACAACTCTATGCGAAAAGTAAATATTTAAATGGGCGAGTTTCTTTGGTGTGGCAAACCTGCCTGACAGGTAGGTGGACCCATTCTAATTTTTTGCTTTAAAATGTAGCAATCTTGGGTTAATTCCGAGTAAATAAATAAGCTTTAAGGCTATTAGTTTCCATAAGTGGTTTTGCGGTCTGCAGTGTCCCTTCATTTTTGTCAAAAATAACTTCATTTTGAGGTTTCGGTTTTATCTAGACGGTGGCTTTTTCTACACTACCCTAGAAGTCCTTTTTTTGACAGCTAAGCGATTGAATATTCTTACCATTTGTTTCAACCACATGACTCATCCGCTTGTCAAGAGCCATACTTCATCTTGGTTACACGCATCTCTCTACATCGAGTGGAAGGCAAACCTCGCTTTCTACTGCTTACTCTGTTAAATGAACTACTGAGGTGGCAAATAAGTATTCTGGTCACTTTTTAACCCAGCAAGCATCAAACGAACGTGCCTTCGTCATCGTGGCAAGGAGGAAGGTGTTGAATACCCTATTCATATCTCATCGGTTGGGTGAATTGCCCACATGCACACAAATACGTGTTTTGGAGCAGCAAAATTTATTCTAACAAAATGACATTTGTCACAGTCTCAGAGCGATCAATTAAATGCCTTCATTATTGGGATCTAGGAGGTGATCATGTTACTTTTAAGCATCCAAACATCAAAATCGGGTCTTTAAAAGCCCTAAAGGGGAAGCCAAATTAGTGGTCACCATGTAATGTTGTAACACTTCATGATAGCCCAACCCTGAGCGAATGAGTGGGTAGGTATCTTCGAAACTCATAAGGTTAAATTCATTCAGCACCCACTCATGTAGTGGAACGGCACCATTTTTTGCATTTTTCAAGCTTGATGAAGAAAGTTATTACAATTTCGCCCATGGAATAGTAATCTAGACCACTGGCTAGGGGAATGTGATGTGGAATACTTAAGTAAAAGATGAAAATCACTTGGATTTAAGGCTCCAATAGTGCTGTAGGAGCATAAGGCTTGACAATTCTTCATTTTTGTGAGGTTGGTGTGTTAGGCACCCATGGAAGTGTTTACCTTCCAGAATCTAGCCAAGTCCATCATCCCTCTCCCCGATAAGTCTCAATGGGTAATAATCTAGTAAGTCTAACGTTGGTAAAAAAGGAGAGGAAATAAATGAATATTTCCGCTGACTCTGTAATCCAGCCTCAAACTATCACTATGGCGGCCTTTTGTTGGCTGCATAGCCCGCCCTGAGGAGGCGGAGGGGCCACCTCTCTTCGCTGACGCTATGCCTATTTCGAGACGGAGAAAAATGACAACAAAGCCCATTTCACCATGAAAGGGAAGCCAATCCCGCCTTTAACTAAGTGGCAACATTAACCGTCATGGTAGTCTAGTGGAAGACAGTGAGAAAGCGTGATAACTAAAACTAGGCCTTTGGGCCTAACAACGCAGTATACACCCTGTAGCGAAACAGCATCACCGCTTACAGTTACTAATTCACTCACAGGCGAGGGTATTATTCGTCTTCACCTTTTTCCCTCCGCCTAAATCCACCAATGATTGCAACTGCAGAGGGTGAAGTGCTATATTAGTGGCACCTCCATTGATGTGACGGGTTCAATTTGTTGGCTGGTTAGCTCAATCACTGGCATTCATCTTAGCCTTGCACTTGTGCTTGCCATGTCTGCTGGAAGGTATAGGAAAAGTGAGGCAAAAGCCGTAATTAAGGAGACGGATATGCTGGAGGAGTTGCAACAACAGGCGGCAAATTGTGCCTACGAGGCCCTCCAACATCACCAACAGTATATGGATATTGCGAGGTATGTGAGGAAACGTTTTGACGATCTCTACGGTCCCTCGTGGAGCTGTGTGGTGGGAGCTGACTTTGGAGCGTAAGCCTTGACCTTTTATTTATTTATTTGCTCCTTTGAAAGAATCTTTGAAGGGAATTGAGACCCTTGCTTTTCTCTTATCATTTTGCCCTGTCAGCAATACGCAGTGATGAGGGATTTGAAGCTTTTAATTAATTTACTTCTACCCTATCAAATTTGTTGTCTATGACCATTCACGGAGGTCAAATGATTGGCTACCAACTAAATTAACTGACGTGACTTCTTCCCATACCCAGTTGTGGCGAGAACTAAGACAGAGGGAGAAGGCGTCTATCGCCCCAACCATTAAGCCCCCTCCCCTTAAAACATTCCCTGACTGAGGTGACTTTCCAAGTAAAGACGTAGATTTATGCGTAGGCTATTCTAGTTTTGGCCACTGAGGGCAATTTTGAGGTCCAAGATCCACGCCCAAGGCATTAATGATGCAGCTCAATTCGGTGTGTGGGGGCGGTGGTGGAGTCGGCGGAGGAAGAAGGAAAAAATTACGGATGTGTGAGGATTTTTGCCCTCCTCTACTCCATTCAACTTATTCCGCAGAAAAACGCCTAATCCGCAACTGCACAGTTATGGAGCGAGAGAGAAAAAAAAAACTGAGTGGCGAAGTCACATGACACAAATTTGATGGCTTCCTTTTGGCTGCTCTCCAACAGTAGGTTTGAAGCATGCAATCGGCCTGAGAAAACACGCAATTACGTTAATGTTTCGAGAGCTTGCCTCCTTTTTTTTTGTTTACTTGATCTGCGATTTCATTAACTATTTCTTATTACGGCCCAGCTCACCCCATCCTCTCCCCCCATAACACCCTTATTAGTGACTTTAGAGACCCTCTGGTTTTTTCCCAGGATAGTCCTGACAGTAAAAATCTTCCCTGTGTTTTTAAAAGGCAGAATAGGTAATTCATACCCTGAGAGAATTAAAAAATTCATTTATTTTCTTTATTTTCTTTTTGTCTCTTGTAGGTCATTCGCATATGAGAAGAAGCATCTCATCTCCTTCCAGATGAAGGGAAAAACCTTCCTCCTATTTCGCGGAGCATGACAATATTTTTTTCTGTTTTATGCACAAAAGGTCCATAGAATCCAATTTTTAGATTGTTTTAAATACTGATATTTTTGCGTGAGTATTTTAAAGTTGGGGGAGGTTGACGCCTTCCATCCATCCCTCCCCCTCAGAATGTAGAAGACGCGCTACAAACTGAGGAAGCAATTTTATCTGCTAAAACTTTTTTGGAAAGACACCTTTAATATCGCCTTGGTAGCAGCAAAAGAGCGCAACAAAACAAAAGCCTTGGCGGGGGTTTGCTTTTACCGTTGCAGCGCCGTTAGCCCTCAAACGCACCGAAACTTCATTTTTCCACCGAAATTAAGCTATCGTCAGAGGTAGTAATAGGGATTTTATGGTACTTGGTGGATCAATCTTTCCTTTTTGCGCACTATCTAACCCATATATTAATTAGTAGGGAAATGTTAAAATGAAGGCACAGTCAATGCGAAAAGATGAGGCCCTCCAACCACATAGTGACACCTCCTCAATCAAGTAGAACGCTTCATTGTGTTAATGTCATTTAACGCGGTGACAAGCTGTTAAAGTCAAGCTTACAAAGCGGCTAGATGAAAGCACCTGTTCTTTTACAAGGAATATCCTTTCAAGGGAAAAGAGAGGAGGAAGTACTTTAGAAACTACCAAATATACCTGTTTGCATCCACATTTACTGGGAAAACTGCGGTAGAGGCTAAGCAAGTGGGTGGCAAATACACCAATGAAGGCTAAACGATGATCTACGGGGCTGCTAACTTTTCCTCCACTTTTCCCCCGCCTTAGAAACGCATTGTTGTTATTTGCCGAGTGACTGACAGATTTGTGGTGAGAAATAAACGCCTTCTTGCAACGTCTCTTGATCAAACTAACAACACATCGGTTACACCTCTAGGATCTGCTCTCCCGTCTCACACTTATAAGGCACAGGTTACTGCAAGCCCAGAAAACCATACTTGTGGTTGATGGTGGAGCAAAATCACCTACTGAGGGCTAAGCAAAGGGTGCGCCTAAGAACCATCAGCTCGATACAATGCTAGCGAGTAAAAGAGAAAATTCATCACCATAAGACTCACTCAAGATTGCTCAACCAATAGGAAGAAGGCGCTATTTTAAAAGGAAAACACGGGAAATACTGCGTAAGATAAGGAGGGGGATGCACCCACATTTGCACTCTTCGTAGTCTCTTGATAGCAGTTCTCTGACCTACAAGTGGCAATTATCACAATTCCTCTTGAAGTTGGGTAACCGCATGATCCCATCGGAAGCAAAAGAGACAATGTGGAAATAAAAGTGAGCTAGAAATGTGAGCAGCACAGCCTAGATTTAGGCCCTCAGTAAAACTCCTGTATTTTTCCTTTAAGAGTAGCTAATAACTCACATTGACGGTTAAACCAACTTATAAAATACCTCTAAAAACATTATGCGGATATTCAACATCCAAAATGAAAACTACACGAAAACAGTTAATTTCCTTAAATACTAGATTTTATGTTCTACATAAAAACAGGCAATTTAAGATGTGTTTATTGGAATTATTTTGGAACAGATAACTAGTACTCCATGTCTGAGAAGGTTTTACCTATTTCGCATTTGATGTGAAAATTACCTATTTAAATCCACATTTTGGAACTCATAAATTAATTAAAAAACCAAAAGTCAGGACAACAAAAAGTGCAAAGGTTTTAACTTTAAACTTCATTTATTTGGAAAAAACACAAAAAATGTAAAATGGTCTATTAATACATTTTATTCTCCCCTAACCAACTAAGGCATTTAACTTCGTTTAGAACTACATCTTGATTGCAAATAAGGTAATCACGCATATAATTTTTCCAGTTTTAATCAAGCAACTCTAAATATAAAAAAACAAAGAAGAACTGTTCCCATCCTCCTTCTTTAAATATGACTAGTAAACGATAAGTAACCTCCGTTTGATGGTTTAAAACAAACCAGATAGAATTATAATAGAAACTTTCCTTCGTTAATTTCTAAATAATAATAATAAGGCAAAACCCAAGAAGAGCTTTAAAAGTATGAGAAATTTGAACCATTCCGTTAGGAAACTGTCATCTTATTATTAAACTGACTGCGTTTTATGGAAAAATGCTCACGAACAAAGGATTTGAACACGTTTGCCTAACCTCATAATTTATTAGGAATCACACAGAGTATTCTTTTAAAAAATAATTTGTTACAAATAATGTGGTAACTTTCAGCCAGGTTTTAACTAAAGAACGAATGTTTGGGCTAATGTAGTCGGTCATGCAGTGTCCAAAACTGTGATATTTAAAAGTATTGTCGAATCTAAAGTCATTTTTCGGCGTCAAGATAAGCTAGACTAACACGATTAATGATTTATAACATGCCTACAGGAAGGCGCCAAGGGAGAAGGCCACTCTACTAGGGGGCAATGCGAACCGCGGGGGCTGTACAACCTGTGCAGTCGTGTTTATTTTAAAAAATACTAAATCACCGGACATCTCTCTCCAATAAACCTTGTTTTCGGCGTTCCTCTTTGTCCTTTTACAACGCTGTCGCTGCTTTAAAGGCCACCTACGAGGGTGAAGCTGCAGCCATTAAATTTTTTGCAGGTGAGAAGACAGAACTAGCATGGAACGCATCGAATCGAAAGTTTCGTATTCTTATGAGCTAAACAAAGCGGAGGGACTTTCACTGCCACACACCCCTCTACAATAAAATCACTTCACGCCTTAGCCACTGTTCTTGGGAATATATACTTAGGATCGCGACAACGTTAGGTAGCTTCGTAAGACTAGTTATTTGCGTCCACTCCTTTTTAACACGTCTTGCTGATTTTATTTCCACTTGAAAGTTGACTTAAGCTTTATTTTGCCGTTAGCGATTTGGAGATGACATTGTTTACCCGTGTTGCGTCCCTAATCAGGAAGAGGAAATTTCAGATCGCCCAAGCATGGCCCAGTTTCGCTTAGCAATTTCCTTTTCGAAAAACACCGGACGTGGTGGACACAACTTTGACCACCGACCTTTTGTGAGTCTTGATGAAATCACAAGATTTCCAACTTTGTGAAATTATGACATGCTCCTCTGTAGATTGAGATTGCTCGTTACTGCCACCGGCACGACGATTCGAGCCTTCCACGAAGACGCAATAAGCCCTACTGTTGGTTGAATGGTTGAGCAAACGAATTGCAATTCTAACTCCTCAAGCGCGCTGTTGGTCGAAGCCTCGTATGTCTCCAATCAGAGTTCAGCGCTGCCTGCTTTCCACTTCCCTGGTACAGCAGCGTCGCTCAATGACGCATTTGTGGAGGCCAAATTCTGACTGCCTTAAAAGGGCCCATTCATAAAAATACCCCATTATTGCCGCGGTTGTAGGCCCATCTCTCCTTAAACTCTGTGGCGTGATCACTCAACAGCACTGATATTCATTTCACCGCGTCAGGTGGTGGTCGCCTTGGCGACGAGGCGTGCTGGTGCCAAATTAATTATGAAGGTCAACACTCAAAACCTAACCGTTGCACTGCCTAAATCTGCCTCTTCATTACGCACCAACAATACTACAATTTGGCACCACCGAGTGTGCAAAAGGCACGGAAAAGTAGGCGTAGGGGGTGCAATTTCCTCCACCAGCCATTACCAAGTCTTAAATGCGCCAACCCTGTCACCTTTTTTGTAATCAATTTCACTCTTTTTTTGCTGTTTACCTTAAGGCAATTTACCAAAAAGGTTGTCCTTTTGGTAAAACTTTAATAGAATTTAAGGCCGCTTTCGACAGGCATTTTGGACGTGGGGCGGCGGCGGTGGCAGGGCCAGGTTGGGCGAAGGCGAGGGAAGTTCTCCCAAACTCTCCTTTTTTCCGTTTGTAATGTCGATTATTAAAATATTAAATATTGCAAAACACGATCTGCCTACTAGTTCCGTCATCCAAATATGGTGATTGGGAGAAAAGCGTTTGAATTGGTTTTTAAAAAACCTAAGCTTTTTCGGGTCCTATGTGAGTCTATTCAAACAGCTTGAGGAGACGAATCGGATTTGAAGGAGGGTGTATGACGATTGCCTATCCGTTTAGAAAGCCCTAATTACCCGCTTACTCAACTCCTCTCGCTACCACAACACATTGTATGTCATACGTGTTTATTTAAAGGGTAATACGTTATATACAAACTCGGAGGTGATCTACGCGCTTTTAAAGAGGAGGATCTGTTGCCCACCGATATCCAACGAGATGTGTTTCTTTTTCTCGTAGGCGAACGAGCTGAAAGGAAGGAAGGGAGGGAGTAGGATAAAACCAAACTGATTAAGCATGAGGAAGATAAAGAGAAAGCGAGAAAGGTGGGCTTTAAACTGCCTACCTGCTGAAATCTCTGCCAACAATACAAGTCCACGAGGCTCCGTGATGTTCATCAAAGTACTTCCGCACCTCCGTGGCCACTTGAACTGGGGTGATCTCTGGGTCGCACATAATCTGTGCACAGATATCCACCACCTCCTGTTGCATAGACTCCTTCATATCCGACTGATTTACTTTGGCTTTTACGTAACTCATGCTGTAAACGCGGTGGGGTGAGTTAATTGTCACTACTGCTGGGTCTTGTGTGGGGTGCCGAACTGCACGGCTTTCCTTATATACCCCAATTCACTACCTTGGCAGCACACACCATCCCATTGGCTCTACCGGAGGGTCTAATTGAGTTACCCACTCACACACATTGAGTGTAAGTGTGTGTGTGTGTGCTCATCCCATCGATCAAAGAGAATGAGAGTGTGACACCGATCTGGTTAAAATGATTGCCTTCCTAAGTCATAACATGGATTTACTGCGGGTTTTTTGCCCCCAAAGGAAGGCGAAATGAGATGTTATTTTATTTATCTTTTTATTAAAAGTCCGCTGTTAATTGTACAAGTTTAATGTTGGTTAAACATCAAATTTGGTAAAAATATTAACCTGGAAACCCTGTTTGGCAGAGGTTGTTTTAAATTGGATTACCGGTCTGATGAAATCAGATAAGCAGGAGGGCTGTCATGTGCTTTGGTGGGGGAAAGAGAAAAAGTGACATTTATGGCGTAAAAACTTAGAGCCAAATTTTAAAAAAAATGGTGGCAGTTAGGATAAAACTATAATCTCGTTGTCTCTGTTGTTGTTGTTTTAATTGCTTCAACGCCTAAATAATTGCCCGGGAGGATTAAAACTGATGAAGTTAAGGTAAATTTTTTTCCCTTTTTTCTAAAAAATTAATTATCTGTGAACACTCTCTTCAGCAACCTGTTTTTTAATTTGTAAGGCAAAGAATGAAGGTAGTTGTTAAAAAAAACCGATTATTTTGAAAAACGAAGCATGACCTACTGAATTATCTTATTCAGTAGTATGGTCTGGTATGTTATCAATTGTCCTGAAATCTATGGAAAGAAGCAAAAAGTGGCATTTTTATCACGAATTTTAAGTTATGAACTAGGCTAAGTAAAACACAACTTTTTAATTTTTGAGAATGGGAAAAATATGTCCACAGGAGAGGAGTCCTCGCTTCCGGCAGCCAGTGTCGGTTGGAGGGCTACTCATATCGCGTAGTTTATATTTCTCTGTTCAGCTTTTCTGCATCTTGTGTATAAATACTAGCGATAAAGTAATGAGAGTGCTTTACTTCCCTCTCTGAGTAAATTTTTTTATCAATCCCTCCTGCATCCATTCCATACCCATCCACCCATGGATCCATGCCACATCCATTCATCCAAAGACTTTGAACACGTATTCTCTCTGATTGTTTCCCCTTCCATTGTTAAAAAAAGTAATGAGAAGAAGGAAAGAAGAATGCTGCAGTATCTTTCCCACTGCCTTTCCAAATACGTGATGAGGTCTTGCCAAGGGTAAGTTTTGTGGATTTGGGAGTTCCAGCGTCCCCATGCGTTGTCTCGAAGGTAAGAGGTTTACTTCCAACCAAATGGTCCAATTTGTTGCTTAGGAAGAGGTTTTCTCGCATGCCTTAGAGATGCGTTAGACGAAGCAGATAAAGCTCTCTTGTGGTTGGAGACTAGCTTTTGACAAGAAATTGGTAGAGAACAATTCCGTCTACTACTTCAAAGCACCAGGGTACACCGAGTCTCGAGGAGGTAAATTGATGAGTACAGTCAGCCACTCGGGCAACCAGTGGACAAACAAGATTACCAGCAAAAGGGGTACAGGCGTATTGCTTATCATCCGATGCCGAAAGATAATATTAACAGCCATTAGTTTGGCTTCTACGCTTTACCCCTTCTAGTTGTTGCCGCTGTGAGCAAATTGGTTCAACACCACCACCGCACATCTACCGTGAATGAGCATCTCGATGACATTGCGTCATTCGCTTTTATCTTTGTACTCTATCCTTTCCTCATCTACTCAAGAAGAGAGGGACCTTCTCAACCTGATGCATCTAGTTTCGGACAGTTGTCCTCCCCTTGGCTCTGAGTGATGCGTAGCGCCGTCACACGCTACCTTCTCCAGCTTCCAAGAGCTAAATCTGATGGAGCTACTAAGGTCAAACCACCTCAGGTCTGTTTTACCTCGATTTGATATGCTGGAAATTTGCGATATAACCAGAACGTGACGAGGAGTGGATTAATGGCTACCCAGCAGGCCTGGATACAATCGCGTGGACTTTAAAAGTTCACGCAAATAACAAGACTTTATTGTTGCATGCCATTCATTTATTTTTAGTCACCTGATTCGCCTTCCCTTTCTGCCCATCCTTTAGTTTCTCTCTCTCTCTCTCTTTCTCTCGATGTATCCACCTATCCGCCTAGGCCAAATCCGTCTCTCTCTCTCTCTCCAGCCGACACACCCATACTACGCATCCCTTGATTTTATCACCAAATAGCTAATTATTCCTGCATGTTATACACCAAATGGATAGTAAAATATAACTTTTAAAGCAAATCTTTTAGGCCAGAAGGCTCTTTGAGACCATGGAATACAAAGTAGAAAGAGTCCACCAAATGTAAACCCAGTCAAAGAAGAAGAAAAGGAAGAGTAGTGGTTGGACGTGGTATTTACACCTCAGGACCGCGTAGCGGACTGGTTAGCGGGTCTAATATTAAGGTCAGAGCAGAGGCCAAAAAAGTGGCACTTGCCAAAGGCACAACAGAAGACCATCCGGGGTCGACACATGCGTTTGAACTTCCATAACTCCGTGACACACCAAGTACACATAGTGCAGGTGGTCACGCAGTAGGTGCTGTCACCGATGTAGCCACATCCATTAGCAGTGTCGCATTGATACTCCAGTTCACTGCAACCCAGGAACCTAAATTTGAACCAGGCTAGAGGCTTAATCTCCATCTGGTGACTTTGACTACTCAATCAAGCCTTATCGTGAGGAGGTAAGAAGCGCTCTTACCTCTCCACCTCTCATCCACCCCCTATCCAGCTATCCATCCCTTCGTCCATTTGCTCGTCCCTTATCTATTCATTTACCCCGTCACGGCTACTTTAAATGTCCCTTTTTGATATAAAATGGTTGCTGTTGAGTTGGAGAGAAGGGTAGGCACAAGAAGCAGTTTAACACAGCGAGGGTGTGACCACACAAGACATGGCACCAATGAGTGATTGCCTTTGCACCAGTAGCTGAGGTGCTCACACCGCCTAGTACTACGTGTCATCCAACACCGCGACTTGGTTTTTACTTGCTTTACCTTCGGAGAACATGTGATGATGTTGTGATGAGGTGTACCCTTGCAAAGAATACGGTGGAATCAGTGGCACCTTAAACAACTAAGCCGATAAATGATCAAAAAAGAAAGGAGATGGCATTAAGCCCCTAGGCTATTCGGAATGACGACTGAGTGTAAAATAACTAAGATGAAACCGCGCGATTTGTTTCGTGACGCCGGAAAAACTAGAGGAATAGGAAAGAACTTTTCTCCTCGAGAGCGCAGATAAGTAGGTCGGATTTTGTCGGTATTCAAGTGATTGTCGGGCAGGGAGAAAAGTCACCTCAAAGATAATAACGTTAGGGCAATATGGAAGATGACAGTGGGACAGTATTTCCCCCCTTTTTCCCTTCCTTACCCCTATCCTAAGGAAGGGGCAATGAGGTATCCCTGCGGGTAAGTTTTTGTGGCGGTTTGAGGTATGATGTGCAACTAGGTCTGGTGATTTTCCACTTCCCTTTCAGCCGTGTCGTAAACAGTAGATACCTCTCAGCTGTTAAAATTTCGTGGCTTCCGATGGGTGAAAGGTCAGGTCTTCAGCCCTCACATACACACACACCCATAAAGCATGGCCAGTGTCGTGAGAATGAAGTGATGCATGCCTGAGGGGCGTGGATAATAACGAGTAGATCCCTTAGGATTAACCGATAATGCCTCCAGTGGCTGCAATACTCCCCACCTCAAGTCAATCAGCGATTAATCTACCCAAATGTCGACAAATGGGTGAAAGAGTCCGTGACAGTCTAGGAGGCATGTGACATCCGCCCCACCTAGTAGATTCTACTCCGTGCCCTTTTAGTTGATGTAAGCGTAACCAATCATGACATTAAGTCTGTCTGATCTTGATTAGCCGTAGAACCTCTGTCTGAAGGCACCAAATCTTTGTTTAAATCATCTAAATGAGCCGCGGTAAGATAAAAGGCCCCTCTGATTGGACCCAACTCCTAGCAAGTTTGTTCACACACTGTCGACTTTAAAGGGGTTCTAGAATTATTTAGAGGTAAAAAAAGGAGTTGGGGAACAAAAACATCTCCCCTTTTGCCTGGATATCAAATCCAGGGGAGCGTTGTGTTGTGTAACTCCTTTATGCAAGAGAATTCCTTTTTCCTTATTCTCACCTCCTAGATTATTAGTCCAAAAAATGTTGTGAGGAACAAAGAGGCATTCGAAAAAGCAAGTAGAAGAACCTACGAAGGTACTTTTTCCACGGCCTTTGACCTCGTCCAGATGAGGGAGAATAGTATCAGCCCTGAAAAGTACAGACACGACTTGACCTTCATTATTGATTGGGTTAAATTTTGAATAGTCTTACTTGTTCATGTAGAGGAAAAGGGGTTTAATTTAGTTTAATTAACAAGCCTCGTCTTTTGATGAGGTACAAGTTGGCCACGCATTCCGGTTTTGCAACTGAAGGGGAAATGTGTTAATCTATCTTTGATCGCCGGTGATTTTATTTCCCGCTTTTTTTTATTTTCCACTTGTCTGCTTTAATTTACGAGTCATTTTGCCGTTGCCTGACGCCAAGAAATGTCACTTGGAGAGGTGTCATCGAGAGGGTAGAGGGAGATGAGGGGTGGGGAGATCCAGGAACGTGGATGAGGACATATTGCCAAAGTAATCAGAGGCACCTGCCTATTAACTACACCTGGACGCTTGTCCCAGCTAGCCATGGTGGCGCACCTCAGAGTTGTGCCGAGACACCTCAGCTGTACAAAAATAACGCTGAGTCCCGAGACAGTGTAGTGGTGAGTGCCTTTAATGCGTGTGGGGTAATGTAAAGCACTGAGATAGTCATTCGGCTGGCCGATCAGTCAGTTTGACAGGCAGGCAGTCAGCTTTCACACCTTACCCCTTCCATTTGATCCCACCGCAGGCGAATTGATTCAGCATTAGCACTGCTTACACCGGAGAGAGCCACATTCTCTTTCTTCATGTGACACTTTTACTAGATCCTACTCAACATACTCCACCACAAGCTTTCGTAGCTTTGAAGCCGAGTTCGAAGTTCTTCCTTATCTTGCAAGTCTTCTAACTTCGTCGTCAGATCCGCTGTATGTGAATCAACCAATCGCTGGGTGGGTGAATGAGTAAAACTGATGGCAACCTGTGGGTGGGTCACTGAGTCCTCAGATTCACTCAGACGACATTCTCGCAGCGATCGAAGGAGCAGGTAGGTTGGCAGGTGGCACAAAACATCGTGACGTGCCCTCACTCGGACTCACACCTGCCTGCCAATGTACGGCTCCAACCAGCAAGCCTTTATTCTTCATAGGCTTGACTCCAAGTGCCAAAATCACATAGCTAATCAGTCGATCAGTTCTTGTCAGCACTATCAGTGTATCCACAGTAAGACATTTTCAGGGATCAGGTTAACCCAAGGATTGATTGACTAACTCACTGTCACTGATCGGTTTGTACTACCGCCACCACCTAGCTGAATCATTTCTATTAAAGCGGAGGTCTTTGACAAGTCACACAATAAGTGAGTGAGACAGAGTCAAACAACCACACCTGTATAGGGTGCGGCACCCTAATCGCCTTTTTCTCCATGACGTGAGTATGATGTGCTTACCTGGGTTTAGCGTCGTCACCGACAGAGGGGTTTCACTTATCTCTACAGGCTTAGAAAGCGCAAAACTTCAAAAATCTTTTGTAACTGCTGATTGACAGAGTTGTTAGATGGCGTTGTGCAGACTGATGAGAATGCCTAAAATTGTTCAAAAGATGAAGAGATTTTGAAAAGCGACTCCTTCAATTTTTCTTGCCTGAGGGGGAGAGGATTCACACATTCCCCACATGTGTGTTTTGGCTTAGGAAATTATGCCACCGCGTTGTCTTATTCAAAGCCCAATTCACCAAAAGAACTTTGGCACTCAACTCGAAGAAGATGTGGTGGCAGTAGAAGTGGATTGCTTGACTCAGTACATGCGTCGTACACATGCTCAAGCACTGCGACCAATGGCTAGGGCGTCAACTCTCACCTTCTCAACGGAGCCTTATATAAGAAGTGTTTGGTGATGTGTGCGTACTACACCAGAAGTCCTTACAACCACAATGAGCGTACTCAAAGCCAAGGTTGTTCAAACCGACATGAAGGAGTCTATGCAACAGGAGGCTGTAAATGCCTGTGCCAAAGCCATCGCCGAGGACGACTCTCCCATTGCTGTGGCCACTGCGGTTAGAAAGCACTTTGATGAATACTATGAACCCTCATGGACTTGTATTGTTGGTCGCGACTTCAGTAGGTGAGTTACACTGCCGCTTATCGAGGTGTCTGAAGTTTGAGCGATCTCCTACTCCTGTTTTTGCTCTCATTATTTCAGTGCATTCGCCTACCAGAAGAGGAGGCACATTTCGCTGTCGATGGGTGGAAAACAGATCCTTCTTTTCAAGAGCGCCTAGTTACTTTCTGAGGAAGACGGATTTCTGTAAAATAAATTTCTTTTCCTCTCTCTCTGTACCTGTCATGCTTCCTAAACTAACAAGACATAAAAATGGGAAGACTTTCGATTCTTTCACCCATTTCTGTAAAGCCCCATGCTTGCATAGACGCACCATAATTTAATATACTCGGGTAAAAAGGCGGCCTTCCAAGTCTGGAAAATGGTGTCTTCTGCGCAGCTTCGGTGATAGTCTGATCCAGAATTAGGCAGATGGAAAAAAAGGGGGGCTAGGGGCGAGGAATTTGCACATTTGTGGATGAGGTGTTTGGTAAGATGTTATCAGAGGTGATTCGATTACTTTGAAGAACGTAGGATCTCACAGTCAAGTCAAATCACATCGCATCGGTTGCACCAGTCTCACCTGAGCCCCATCTTAGTTGATTTTTAGGGGTATTGGCTCAGCTTTCTAAGAAAATATCTGCATTGATGATAATTTGGGCCCAAATGACACGTTTTTTACTGAGCCATTGTTAGCGTAGGTTTACTTTGAGGAGGGACTGCATTAGGTTTATCATCCATTTAAGTTAAGGGATTAAAAAAGAAAGAAAAAAAATGAAAGAGAAATAGAAGAAGGGTCTGAAAAGCAAGAATGCGTTTTTACTTCACCATTTCTAGGTCCTCCTTATCTTTGCCCATTTCCACCATCCCTGCAACGACGGAGACCCTACTATGTTGTGGAGAGGCTTTAGGCGCACTCCACACAAGGAGTAACAAAAAAGAAACCTAGAATTAGCTGTACTTTTGAAGCCTCTGTGGCATTAGGTGGCACAGCTATTGCAGGCAACTTAGCTGTGCGTGCGCAAGTGAAGATGTCGCACCTACCGAGCGGTATCGATCCGATTTGCAGAGCACTGACGCTTGAGCCATGTTTTACTACCATAAGTTTACCTCTCAATTTTCCTTTCTATTTTTTGCAATAATTAATCTTGCGGGAGGTACAAGCACTATTTTTAGTTGTTTACATCCACTCGCAGGTTATGTGATAATTCCCAATTCATTATAAAGGATAAGGGAGTGAGAAAACTAACACTCCTTTTGACAGTGGCAATGCTGTGGCAGGCGAACTTTCTTAATTTTGTGCTCTTGGAATCACATATTACCTTTAACTGGTAGTTTTCCTACTGAAATTGCCTTCTCAAAATTCGAAAACAACAATTGGGGAAATCATTGTAAAGAAAGTAAATTGGATAATTTCTTGTCATTTTTGTGAATTATTTGAGAAGAAAGAAAATGAATTGAGTTAGGTGCCGCCTCTCTATGCTGATGTATGCCAGACTGCCGAGAGATCGTTAAAGCGGTCTACTTGGGGGTTTTGAAATCAGCCGCCTTACGTGTGATGCAGAAGGGCTGCCAGGCACAAGCCTGAGGCGAGTCTTGTGAGGTGGGGTGCGATTCTAAACTCAAAGGTGTCCTGTAAGGTTTTTTTAAGGTTATTTGCGGCTAGGTTTACGTAACAGACAGGCAGTAAGAATTTCGAATTATTAAAATTAAATAATAATAATAATAATAAAATCTTGTTTTCTGCCCCAGCAACCGCCACAATACATAACCCAATGCCAGGCCAACAAGACATCGCTTTGACACGAAATCTACTCTACCTTAATTTTTTATCGAAGGGGACAAATAACTGAGTCATTGACACAGCCGTCTCAACCTCATTTTTACCTCCCAACTGTCACTTTTGCGTCTCAATATCTTATCTCGATGTAACACTGCTTTCTACCGACTTGATTAATTTACTAGTTTTGGCAATTTTGCTAGCCCTAACATGGAGGACTTTTCTTACACCCCATCCACTCGTGTCCAGCTGTGGAGTCGCCCACAACTTTATCTGGTCTGATCCTAAAAAAGAACTTCGTAGTGAGTAAACACTAACCGTCTATGAAGCCGATTACCTCTCATCCATTGTTACTCAACTTCTAAGACTGCATCTTTCACTTTCCAGTCAATGGCAAGGTGAGTAAGTTGGCTCAGCATCATTACCTCTCACGTATTTATCATAAAAATTGGTCTTTCAACGGAAACACGAACGCAATTTTTTTCTCAGAGGATAAATCCCTTTCAAGGGCTTTTTTAATCTCCACAAACGTCACTTCTACTACGTCTTATTCAACATCTTTCACCACAGTCTTCCCTACCTTTGAAGTCGAGTTCACATCCATTCCTCATCCCGCACGCCGTCTTGGTTCATCATCAAGTTCACTGTAAATCAATCTGACAATTACTGAGTGGGTGGGTGGGTAAGTGAGTGAGTGAGACAGTCAGTTATCATATTCACTGAGGCGAAATCCACGAAGTGATTGAAGAAATGGGTAGGCGGTACAGAACACCATAACATGCCAGCTCAAACTACATGGAGGTCTGCCCACCGTCGATCAGCCTATGGATGTAACCGCATGGAAGGTTCCCCTTTTACTTTGCAACTGAATTCGGCAGAATGGAATCAGTACTGCCACCAGAAGTCTACAGCACCGCTCTCCTGACGAGATAGTAAAGTCTTCACGACAACTCATTAGATAGTGGAGGTGGCTATTAAATGTGTAGATCCTGTCACTTTGTCATGTACTGCCCCATCAGGCATTACCCGTGTCGACAGAGCAATATTGTTTGTCATAAGCATGAGTACTGTCAAATCCGTTGATTTATCGCTAACAAAAACACCAACACTTACAGCAAACGCGGTCAAAACAAGGCGAAATAAGCTTTCAAATCATGCCATTTGATGAATATCATTGTGGTGAAAGCACACGGTCATCAAGGTTTCATTACCATGCATTTCAGTAGCTTCTCAGTGAGGGTACAGCTAAACACTGCGTCGTCTTGGAAATCATCATTATATTGGGAAAAGAATGGCGCTGGCTTTGGCAAACTACTGGTTCATCAGACCACTGCTACTGAAGGTGATGAAGCTCTCCGGGGAACAGCACTGGTGCGAATCCTTCCCCATGCTACATCGTGAAACCTACTTGGCCTTTGCTGGTTCGACAAACTAGGTGAAGGGGAGCTCTCTGTCGAAACTATTTACCATATAATGCATTCAACTGCAGTATGCCTCGGTGGGATTCATCAAAGAGGCTGTTTTAGCTGTTAAAGTTCTCCCAATGGTCACGACTTAGGTTAAGCAGACCACAAAGTCCGGCATTACGTTAACGCAAGGAAAGCGCTTCTTTGGGTAGAAGTAATTGCCCCATATTTCGAGTATCGACTCCAAACCACAGTTCCAATATGGAGACTTGATATGTGCCGTCGAAGACTGCTTGATGTTCAACCATCGTAAGCTTCGCCAAATTCATGGCTGTCATCATGGCGTCGGTAGCACAAAGTCTACCGTCAGAAGCTTACCCTACTGCCCACGCGTGAGCAAAGATGTTGCCCAAAATGCCCACCACTACGTTGGCCTCCGCGCAGATATCGCCAGCCTTATCGGTTGCTGCTCTGAACCTCATTTTGACTGATGTTGCGCTACACGGGATCCCGAAGACTTTAGCCACAGTCAGCAGTACACGATTCACATTGTATGTTTGCTCTCCGCCTTATAACCCTCAGCCTCACGACATGTGGAAGTTCACTGACCCTACTCAGATCACGAAGGGGGGGAGCATCTCATTTCTTTACCCTTGACTGGAGTGTGATTTTGCAGCTTATTTAGGAACACCGCCGATTGGGATTGTGCAGACTGATGATAGGGATTCTTTTGTGACATTCAAGCGCTTGATCAAAGAAGAAATGATGCTGACAACAGCCGTGGATTGCTTGGGTCACCTGCAGACTTCCAGAGCATGAATGCACATACTCAAGGACTGAAATCCATGGTAATGGGATCAACTCTCACTTTCGCACGAAGCCTATTTATGGAGTGAGAGATCCGCATCAAACCGCCACCACAATGAGCAAATCTGATATGGCGCGGTCAATGCAAAGGTGGCAGGGATTCTCTGTGGGAGGGGGAGCAAATGAGATTTCTGTTGCCGCCGCTGTTTGAAGGCTATCTTTTTATTTCACACACCAGCGTAGACTTACATCATTAGAAGCCCATTTTTGAAGTGCTACTTCGACTATCCCTCCTGTTAGTGATGTCACTGGCGCTTGTTTTGCTCCCAAAGGTTTACTTCATTCGCCATCTGGAAGAGGTATCACGTTTCCCTTTTGATGTAAGAGAAACAGGTCCATATTTTCAAGAGATCTCCCTCCTTGTCTTACAGAACCAAGACCTCCTTCCCTTCTGCATGCTTGCATGATCCAGTTCCTCCATCTCAATCGGTCGGCTGGCGCCTCGTTTACCTATTATGACTATCCGTCTTCCACTGGCTCATAAGGAGATTCTACAGTACTAACTTTGCTAAAAAGCTTTCGCAGCTCTGAAATCGACTTTACCACCCTCCCTGAGGCTGAAAGCCATATGTCACATCGGATTTGTTCATTTGATACCCTACGAGGATTCAAACAGCCCAGGAAGTAAAAAGCAGTATGGAGCGCAGCTGAGGGTGGCTAAAGGTGGACCGACGCACGAGTCTGAGCAAGCTCATGCATTTTTAAGGAGGTTCTACAGTGTAGAGCAAGTTATTGCCATGATCCATGCGAGAAGTGGAGTAAACAAGCAATAAACTAGCCACTCTTGCTGGCACAGATAAGCCAGTCTCGTTTTGAGGGAAAACCAAGATTTGGGACAATGATAAATAGCAGATAGTGTCGGAGTCCTCCACCTCATCTCTCCCATGAAAACGAATTACCCGTGGATCGGTCGAAATAACTCTCTGCGGATGAAGTAGATGAGCTATTTCCACCTCTCAGCCAAGTACACCAATATGCGTCACAAACGGTGACTGCAAAGAACTCTTCCATTTAGTGTGGAAAGTCCGTTTTCCAGGCGGCGTCGGCTATTCAACTGCTGGTATTTCTGTCTGCTTTGATGAGGTAGGCAAACCAGGGAGAAGTAAACAACGTCTACTGATAACAATG